GAGTGGCCGGGGAGCCGGCTCCCCGGCCAGTCAGCATGGAGCCGGCTTTCCGGCCAATCAGCAAGCCAGGAGGTGGGTCATTACTCGGCACCCAGCTTCCTGATCGCACAGGAAGTTGGCTCCATGTTGCCCTATGGCACTGCTGGTCAGAGGAAATCTTCCTGTGACCAGAAGTTCCGGTGTCAGAGCATTTGGGCCAGTACGAGTACTGGCCCAAATACTCGGTATCGATAAGAGTATCGGTATCAGGGCATCCCTAGTAACGTGTACAGTGCATAAAGTACATTTTTGCCGTTATAAAAAATAATCCTTCTCCGTGGTGTAATCCTTCGGCAGTGTTTACATCCTGGTTGGGGGAAATCTCCAGCGTCCACTTCTGGTAAAAGAAAATGGTGCCGTAGTCCTTCAGTAGAGACTCCGAGTACAGTCTAAAAGAGGCGTTACTCCAAAAGCAGAGATTTTTTGGCATCCAAGATGTAAACAATGCAGGAGGCCGACGCCGTCCGAGAGGGAGGGTGGGTTGCTTTCAAGGTTATGTTAGCTTAAGGAGTCAGGGAGGAACCAAAAGATTAACTGCAAGGTGGATCCTTTTTATAAATCCATCTGTCTTTCTCTGGCCTGCCTGTGACATTGGGTAGGGAGGAAAGAACCCCCCTTCATCAGCTAAAAACTTCAAGTAAATCCCAAAAAGTTGATGGGCTATGCAATTCTGCTACAGCTCCCGGTATACTGAGCTCAGTGTGACGGGAGGACGCTAGTTTGTGTCCTCCCGTTACCCTAAGGAGAACTATGGGGAAAAGCCCTGACCTCATAGTTCTCCTTTAAGCTATGCATTCATTGTTGGCTATACATTTCGCATTACTACCAAAATAGACCGTTTAAAAGCCACCAAGATTTGGCTAACTAATCTTACCTGGGCAAGCAGCTTCTGCTTTTCTTCCTGGAACTTCCTCCGTTCATCCAAGACCATGGACTTTGTGTGGTCATACTTGCTGGTCACAGCCTCCAGTTTTTGGCCGAGTTCACTGACTTGCTCCTTGCTTTCAGACACCGTCTTTTCACAGCTCTGCCGTAGAGACTCGAGCTCCTTGCTGTGCTTCTCCGTGACCTTTGACATCTCAGTCTCCATCTTCTTGGCACTGTGAGCGGAGCCCTGGGACAGGGCCTTGTTTTCAGCGCGTAGTTGCTTGTTCTCATCCTGCAGCTTAGAAATGTTGTTGAGGTGATCGCTGTTCTCCTTATGAAGGGTTTCCAGAGTCACTTCCTTTTGAGATAAGGAATCTTTCAAAGACAAGAGAGAGGCCACCTCAGCCTTGGTCTTGTCTAGCTCGGTCTTCATTCCCTCGGACATCTTCTGGTTCTTAAGAAGCTCCTCTTTGTACTCGCTTTCCCTTCGGGTCTGCTCGGTCTTCATCTCCTCGTAGCTGCTTTTGAGGGACGTCAATTCCTCCAGCAAATGTTGAGAGTTGGCGAGTTGCTGCTGAACAGTAGACATTTCTTCTTCTTTGAGGGAACATTTTTCTTGCCAGGTCTTCACATCTTGCTCCAGTTTTGCTACAGTTCCATCTTGAGAGGACAGTTTCTTCTGCAACCCTGAAACCGATGAACTTTGCTTGTCCGCTTCTTGTTTGAAGCTCAAAGATTCGGCCTTCAGGCTGTCAATGGCGCTTTGCTTCTCTGCGAGCTCTTTTACAGACACTTCCAGCTTTTCCTGAACTAGTTTCAGCTGCTTTCCAAGGTCAGTGCTTTTGGTGGACTCTCCATCAAGCAACTCCTTTGCCTCTGAAACGTTCTTCTCCTTGGTGGCAAGCTTAGCGGTCAGGTTCTTCAGCTCCTCCTGCATCACTTCTACCTGACCTTTCTTCTTCTCAATGTCCTCTCGTAGTTTTGAGGCTTGCTCTTTGGCTTCTGCTAAAGCTTTCTCCTGACCTTGAGAAGCAGACAGGACACGTGACAGTTCCATGCTCGATTCACTTAGCGCCTTCTGACTTTGCTCCAACTCCTGAACTTTGTGGAACAGCTCAATTTTTAAAGCTTCCAAGGACGATTCTCTCTCCGTCTGTAGGGACCGGGACTCTTCTAGCTGCTTTGTGAGCTCGCCTGTCTTTTGTTTCTCCTGCTCAATCTCAGATTCCAAGGCCTGGAGAGTCCTTTGCCACTGTTCTGAAGTGGATGCGTTTTTGGATGCTGCAAGTCTGGCCTCAGCCGCTTCTTTATGCGCAAGGTTCATACGCAATTCCCTGTCTTGCAACATTCCCTCCAGATCTTTAACTCTGCTCTCCAAAGAGTTGACCACATTCGCCAAAGCTTGGAGGTTCTCGCGATTGGAGGCGTTTTCTTGACTTATCTCCTGGATATCACGCTCCAGTCGCTGTATCTCATTATCTTTATCGCTAACCGTGGCCTTCAAAGCGGTTATCTCGGAGTCTGAGGCTTTTATGGTCTCCTTGTAATGTTTCACTTTCTCTTCCTGCTTTCTCGCCTGTTCTTCTAAAGCTTTTAACCGCGTCACCTCTTCGTGGAGTTTGGTTGAAGATTGCTTTTCCAGCAGTAACTCCTCATCCCTTGCAGCAACGTCCTTGGAAAGTCTCTCCAGCTCGTTCTCTTTCAGGGTTATGAGGTCAAGAGACCGGGAGAGCTCGTTTTGAAGAGCCGAAAACTCGCTCTTATGCGCGTCTACAGCTTTTTGTAGCTGAGCTTCGACTTCTAATTTATTGGTTTGCTCAGTTTTTAGGTCTTCGGTGGCTTTTTCTCTCTCTTCTTTCAATCGAGTCACAGACGTGTCTTTTTCATGAAGTTCCTGCTTGTGCTTCAGATTGGACTCCTCTAGCTCCTTCCTCAGTAGCTCCACCTGAGTGGAAAGTACTTTGGTCTGGTTTTCCCACTCTTTAAGAGTCGCTTCCATGCTACTGGTTTCAGACTCCAAAGACAGAATTCTTTCAGATTTCTGCTTTTCGAGGTTCTTGAAAGTGGATTCCAGCTCGGCCTTTCTCTGCTTCTCTTCAGAATGCTCTTTGGAGAGCAGGTTAAGATCATGCACAGTATTACTGCAGCTCTTCTCCAGCTCTGAGATGCGTTCTGCATGCTCCCCCTGAGCCAATCTAAGCTTCTCCTCCGCAGAATGGACCGAATGAAGCAGATTTTGCTCCTGGGCTTCTTTAGTCTGAAGCTGGGTTCTTGCGGCTGAAAGCTCAGATTCCAGCTGAGATACCTTCTCCAGTTGGGAAGTCATTTCTGCCTTTGCCTTGGCTTCCACCTCTGACGCTCTTGATTTTTCTTTCTCCAGCTGCTGGCAGACTTGATTATAATCGAGTTTCAGCGATTCAATATGTTTCTCTACCTGGCTTGAGTTTTCAGCAAGATCTTTCCATCTGCTCATTTCCACTGTCGCTTTTTCAATCTCTTCTTCGCGCTGCTTGATCAGGTCAGAGGTTTTGGACAGTTTTTGTTGAAGGTTCTCACTATTTGTTCGATGTTCCTCCTCCATTTGGCAAAGCTGGGATTCCAGTCTCTTGGTAGCCGCCTTCTCCTCTGCTAGATCTGCCATTGTTTGGTCTCTACTGTCACTTAGTGACTTCAGATCTCCCTCGAGAACGGAATTTCTCTCCTTCTCACACTCGAGCGCAGCAGAACGTTTTCGCTCAATCTCTAATCGCTCCTCTAGGTTCTTAACTGCACCTTCCAAGGCTAGCAACTTCTCCTTAACTTGGCTATTCTCTTCACTTAATACCTCCATCCTGGACGCTTTTTGCTCATAGATTCTTAGCTGAGCTTCTCGCTCAGCGAGCTGCGTTCTTAGGGACTCCAAAGTAGCAGCATGAGACTTGTTAAGGGCGTCATTCTCGGTGTCCAGATGCTGGCATTTGGCTACCAAGTCTAAAATGGTGGCATCCAGTTCCTGAACTTTTAACGCCAGGTCCGCTTTTTCGCTTTTCAAATCTTCCACCGCCGCCACGCTTTGCTGATGATCTTTCTGCAAAGACTGACACGTTTGGCTCAACGTCCGTAACCGTTCCTCTTTGTCGCTTTTATAATCATTGAACTCCTTGAAGGCCGAGTCTCTCTCACCAGCAATTTTATCCATTTCTTGTTCTAAACTTGTCATTTGTTGGGTAGCTTCGGTCAGCTTTTCAGTTAGTTGCACCGATTTGCCTTCAGAAATGGTTAAACTGCTGCTGAGCTCGTCTACCTGACCTCTGAGCTGCTCGGTGTTCTTTCTTGAAGACTCCTCTTGTTTCTGTAAGGCGTCCCGCAGCTGCTCCTTCCCTCTTTTCTCTGCTTCAACTTCTTGCTGAAGAGAGGAGAGCGCCTCGTCCTTCTGCACCAGAGAAGACTTCAGCTTGGTGATCTCCAGCTTCAGAGTAGTTATTTGACATGTCAATCTTTCCTCCTGCAGCCTGGCTTCCTGGTCCTGCTTCTCTTTCTGAAAGGTGATTTCGGAAAGAGAGGTCTGCAGATTGGTGACGATGTCCTGTAGCTGAAGCTTCTCCGATTCAAAGCGAGATTTTTGAGACTCCCAGTCTGCTACTGCAGCCCTCTTCTGTTCTTCCAGCTGCCCGATCTGAGCCTGGAGCTCCGCAGATTTAGTGTTTAACGAGATGACCTCTTGCTCCAAATTCTCCAGCTTGACAAAAAAACAAAACATAACAACATGCGTTAGCAATGAGCTGCGAGCATTCAATGTATTAGTCTACTACTAGAACTACTCCTAGCGGCATCTCAAATTTCACAGGTAAAAGGTGATCTCGCCATCTGTATCCATAATAAAGACGTGTCCACTGACAGAATAGATAAAAAGGTGACCGTTTCCCAGGACAGGGGACCGGATTTTTCTCTGATGCCGTTTAATAAAGCCAGTGACACACTGCATGCAAAGCCGTGCAGAGCGAAGCAAAGTTGTCAGGCAAGGAGCTTCGCGTGCAGTGTGTGAGCGGAGTGCAGCCAGATGACTGACTGCATCTTCAGCCAACAGGCTCGCGCGTAACAATCGGATGGCGTTTGCATCGTGACGCGCGGGTTTATATGCGCGAGCCGATTGGCTGAAGATGAAATTTTTCATCTCAGCACGCTCAGCTATGCGAGCTCTCGCAAGCGGACGTGCTGGGGAGAAAATTACATGACACACTGCACGCAAAGGCAGCGTGTGACTGGATGGTGAAAGGTAGGGATGCACCAATACCACTTTTTTAAGACCGAGTACCGATACTTTTGATCAAGTACTCGCCAATACCAATTACCGATGCTTTTTCTTAAAGGGACAGGTCACATTTTTTCTAAAGCAATACAAACTAATGCTTAAAAAGGTCACTTTCTTAAGAATATGATTCATGAGATGACGAGGGAGCACGACGCCGGCTTCCCGGCCAATCAGAATGCTGGGCGCTGCGTCATTGCACGCTACCCGGCTTCCTATATGGCCAAAGTCGGGGCTCCATGCTCTCTCATCACAAGTGATGAGAGCATGGAGCAGTTTCCTGGCCAATCATGAAACCGGGCAGCGTGCCTGGCTTCCTGATACAGGAAGTACTTGTGCTAGGTATCTGAGCATTTGGGCGAGTACGAGTACTCACCCAAATACTTGGTATCAGCACCAATACCAATACTAGTATCGGTGCATCCCTAGTGAAAGGAGACCTCATCTCTCCAGGTCTACCATATGCTCCTATAAGAATGCGCCTTGTTAGCACTACACAACTACTGACGGGTTCCTTGTACTGCTCCTCCCTCTTATAAATCTGAGCTATGCTGCAGGCAGACAGAGACACACACACACAAAATCCTTTTTTCTTTTCAAGTCCATCAAGGATACAGGAAGTCTATAAATTTCTGGTTATGCTGCCGCCTACAGGAGAGATTGCACACTGGCAAACAAAACATTTATAGGAGAGTCCAGTCCAGCATAACCCCTTCTATTATCAGCATGCCTCAGTACAGCCGAGTACAGAGAGCATGATCATAATGATAGAGTGGTGGGATCTATGTTCCTCCATGGACTCCCAATTTATTTATTTTTTACTGCGAGTACAAAAATCTTTTTTTTTTTTTCTTGTCCATTGGAGGGGACACATGAAGTCTTTAACTTTCAGGACATCCAAAAGCAGTCCAACTAAAGAGTGGGCAACATCAAAAGAAACCTTAACAGGCCACAGAAAGAAAAAAAAATAGGCCTAGGCACTGCCTGCAGCTCAGAGAGTTGAATGCCCGAAGTTGGCATCAAAGGAGGCTAAAACAGCCACCTGGCGGAATTTGGAGAATGTGTGAACTGAAGATCAGGTGGAAGCCTTGCAAATGGAATCGGATGCACAATGCCGAAAAGGCCAGGAAGCACTCGCAGATCTAGTAGAGTGCCCCTGACAGTGAAGGGTAGAACCTGATCCTTGAGACCAGATCTTGAATAATGGTCTGTTAGCCACATAGAGATGGTGGAATGAGAAGTCAAGGAACCCCTCTGTGGTCCATCCGGGATGACAAAAAGGAAAGTCTCCCAGAGCTGGATTTATATATAATCGAGAGATTATCTCTTTCTCTCTCTCTATATAGATATATCTCTCTAGATATATCTCTCTATCTATTACATCACTGCTCTAGAGGAGATCTGCATGGAGGAATGGGCCAACATACCAGCAACAGTGTGTGCCAACCTTGTGAAGATGTACAGGACACGTTTGACCTCTGTCATTGCCAACAAAGGATATATAACAAAGTATTGAGATGACCTTTTGATATTGACCAAATACTTATTTTCCACCATAATTTGCAAATAAATTTGTTCCAAATCAGCCGATGTGATTTGTCTGGATTTGTTTTCTCATTTTGTCTCTCATAGTTGAGGTCTACCTATGATGCCAATTACAGGCCTCTCTCATCTTTTTAAGTGGGAGAACTTGCACAATTGGTGGCTGACTAAATACTTTTTTGCCCCACTGTATATATATATATAAAAACCAATATAGGGACAACCTGTTCCTCAGTGTCAACTGAGTCAGTCCGGAGGCTGGGCCAACTTGCCCAGGAAAAGAATGCTGTACTGCAGATGTCTGGTGTGAAACTGGATAAAAAGGAATGGTCTTGTAGAAGACTGCCTTGAGGCCCAGGACTCTCATGGAAAAGCAGAGAGTCAGTCAGCTACTGGCCTGAAGAATTCAAACCGGAGACCAGAATCTGAATTGTCTCCTGTGGGAAGAACACTCCCGGTGTCCAGAACTGAAACCAGATACTCCAAGCGATGAGTCCACTGATGATTTCTGAAGGTTCAGGATCCACCAAAACTTCTGTAATGTCTGGACGGTCAGAAACACATCAGACCGAGCCCTTGCCCAACCAGAAGTCATCTATTACCCCACAAGAGCGCAGCAATGCCAATACCGAGTACAGCACCTTAGTGAACCCCCAAGGTGCAGGTCTAGAGAACCTGTGCAGGGGCCCCACAGAAATCACTGATGCATTGGAAAGATGGGCAACTTTGATTTCCACAGAAGCTAGGAGGTCACCCCGGTGAAGGGAGACGTTAAGAGATTTCATGGATTGCATAGGGAATTTATGCGAAATTAAGACATTGAGATCCAAAATGGAGAAAATGCCCCTTTGGGTTTGTCAACCGTGAACTAGGAATCTGGGCAATGACACCTTGATTCAGAAAACAAGAGTGGACCCCGGTGGAGATCTGCAAGTCTGTGCAGAGACTCAAGAAGGCTGATGGTAAAATCAATACGGGGGTAGGGAGCAAAACTGGGATATGGGACGGAACAGGAGGCGGGGCTCCGGGACGGAACAGGAGGCGGGGCCTGGCGACCACAGAGGCGCTGACAGTTAAGAGATCTCAGACCCTGCAGAGCCCACTATACAGAGTCTATGGTGGGCTCTGCAGGGTCACTCTCCGCTGGGGCTCTGCAACTAGCAAATCACGGAGCCCCATACAAAATTTTGCTATGGTGCCCTGTGATTTGTAGTTACGCCCCTGGATACAACCTACTGCATCCAGAAGATCCACATATGTCCCCACCACTCTGGATTTTTGAGGATTTCGCAGACCAAGTGTCAGACCTTGCTAGTAGATGGGAAGCCAACCTTGGAGGATCTCAAAGAGGAGATCAAAAGAGTGGATCATCGAAAGGGATTCTTCCACAGTCACAGGGGAAGAAGGCTTTGCAGTCTGTTCCTTACGCTCTTTCTGCTGAGGAAGACGGGTGCTTCTGCTGTCAGCAGCATCATTGATGATAGTATCAAGAGACACTCCAAATAGATGTTCTCTCTCAAAGGCTATGCGGATCAAATGCTTCCTGCACAAAGGTTCCGTAGTCCAGCACTTTATGCATATGTACCAACGTATGGCACATGCGAGAGATAAGGGAGAGGCTTTCAGAAACGTCACCGCTGAAATTTAATAGTACAGCCAGCTGCTCGACGTGCTTATTAAAAGGCATCAACCTCAGCAGTGGTCACATCTCTTAAAGGATAATTGCACCCTCCTCTCCGAAGATTCTTGGGCGGCCGCAAAGGATCATGGGGCGGGCGCATGCGCAGTTCAGATCTTCGGCCGGGAGACGAGGAGAGACACAAGGTAAGTCAATGGAGGCAGCGTGCACCCGCACAGACTCCGTGGGACAGGAAGTGCCGGGAAGAGAGGAGTCAGTGCTGGATCAGAGAGCGGCACCAGCGCTGGAGGCACTCCTGAAAACTACAGGAAAGAAGAAGATCAGATCAAGAGGCATCATTTAAGGTAAGTCCTTACACCAGCATGGGGGTGGGGGGGATTTTCTTTGCTTTTAATGTCACTTTAAAGGGACATTAAACCCTCAGATTTTTTAACATAAACCAATACTGTAATGTGCGCCTTACTGTAATCCATGGTTGTTTCCCTTCTCTTTGCTGCTCTTCCTATTAAATCCTCATGTCTTCTCATGCTGGGGGAGAACTTCCCTTTGCAGCTGAGTGCCTCTTCCTGTAGTGCTGGCTCAGGTTGTGAACCTGCACACAGACACCATGTATCAATTCCAGAGACAAGGCAGTCTGCCGCAAAACAGAAGTTCTCCCCCAGCATGAGAAGACATACGGATTTAAAAGGAAGAGCAGCAAAGAGAAGGGAAACTACCATGGATTACAGTAAGGCGCACATTACAGTATTGTTTTATGTTAAAAGATCTGAGGGTTTAATGTCACTTTAAGGGATTTTGCTTAGTCAGACATGGTTTGACAAAGTCACAGCCAGGATCAGGTGTAACACAGGATCCGATACAGCAAGATTGTCCTCTCTGTGTCTGAAGTCAAACAATTTGTGACCGTGCGGTGGGAAAGGAACGTTTAGGCTCAGGGTAAGAGGCAAGGCCTCAAATACTCACATAACCCTGCAAGCAGGTGACCAAAGCCGCTGAAGGCATGCCGCAGGACAGGACCAAACGTCAAAGTTCCACGCGGCTCTTTGCAAGCGCGGCAGCAGATGCTTCTTTTGTGATGTGCTTTGAGAAAGAGAACTCTGTCCGGAAGATGAAGTCAATGCTCGGTAACGGCCTTAACTCCTTCAACAGTAAAAACAGCTGGAAACGGGGAATAAAAGGGCCCAACTACCTATGAAAATGAGATCGCTCCTGATGCTCGTCCCAAACGGACTGAGCGAGTCTTCAGTGACACGGCAAGTGCCGAGCCAATGCCAGCAGCTCGGGACCTGGAAACCGCTCTGCAGCTGCTCACCATGATTGACTCTTGCAGAGCGCCCCACACGGAATCCAGTGTCCAAGGGTCAATTTCAGGTTATGCCCACAATGTTCAGTCCCGGGGGCTCCGGATGCGGTACTCCAGAAGTCAGGCTGAAGAGGACTATTCCCGATTGCTGCAACCGGAGAGAAAACTCCAACAGCAATATAGAGACGAATCCTAACTGAAGAAACTTAAATAGCAAA